TGGCAAATGAGGTTCAATGTAGCCAAGTGCAAGGTGACGCACATTAGAGCCAAAAATCCTAAATATAAATACACATTGATGGGGTCTGAACTGGCAGAGACTGATCAAGAGAGAGATCTTGGAGTTGTAGTAGATAACTCACTGAAAATGTCGAGACAGTGTGTGACTGCAATAAAGAAGGCCAATGCTATGCTGGGGATTATTAGGAAGGGTATTGAAAACAGATCAGCCAATATCATAATGCCCCTATATAAATCAATGGTGCGACCTCATTTGGAATACTATGTGCACTTCTGGTCACCACACCTTAAAAAGGATATTATAGCTTTGGAAAATGTGCAGAAAAGGGCAACTCGAATGATAAAAGGGTTGGAACACTTTCCCTATGAGGAAAGGTTAAGGCGCTTAAGGCTCTTTAGCTTGGAGAAACGACGACTGAGGGGTGACATGATTGAGGTTTATAAGATTATGCATGGGAAAGAGCAAGTAGAGAAAGAGGTACTTTTCTCCCTTTCTCACAATACAAGAACTCGTGGGCACTCCATGAAATTGCTGAGCGGTCGGGTTAGAACGGATAAGAGGAAGTACTTCTTCACCCAAAGAGTGATGAACACTTGGAATTCACTGCCACAGGAAGTGGTGGCGGCTACAAGCATGGACGGCTTCAAAAGGGAATTAGATAAGCATATGGAGCAGAGGTCCATCAGTGGCTATGAGCCACAAGGTATAGAGAGGGGCTCTGGGGCAAGGGATGCTCTGTCTTCTTGGGGGGGGGTCAACAGTGGGAGGGCTTCTAATGTCCTGGCCCCACTGGTGGACCTCCTGATGGCACTCGTATTTCTGGCCACTGTGTGATACAGAGTGTTGGACTGGATGGGCCTTTGGCCTGATCAAGCATTGGCATCTCTTATGTTCTTATGTTCTTAAGTCTAAGGAACGGCATCATTAACCAGCACACTTTTAACAACCTCCCCAAAAGACACATTCCTTCCAGTCACAGGAACGAATGCCTAAGATCCTTTTGCCCGAGTCTTGGGATTCCCGGACTCCTGCTTCACCAGCAGCCAACCTACTCAGTCCTTCCGGACACGGGCAGCAGCTTTCTTTAATGTCTTTGTTTTATTATTAAGACAGCTGCACCCCACCTTTCCTCTTGGCCCAAGGTGCCTTCGTTAACTCTGCACGAAAAGTCCTGGTCCCTGGGAGGGCGCCTGCCAGCCTCTCCCATCAAACCAGCCAGAGATCAAAGGACTCTCTGCCCTTCCCTCCAGGTTTCCGGTCTCAAAGCTCAGAGGAAAAACGGTGCTCTGGAACAGAGAGCTGACAACATCGGCAGCAAGCTGTGAGATGCACTTGGGGGCAGGATGAATCCCCGCTGTCTGCAACAACCCTGTGGAAGGACTTAAGGGTCTGAAGACATCAAGACCGGGGGAGCCCCTTCCTAGAGGGGCTGCTACTTTTTAGAGAACGGAGAATAATACACAATTCAAAAAGCCTGGGTAGGGGAGGCAGAGAGAGTGGGGATCCCAATCAATGCTCCCTCTAAGCCGTGGAGTCCTCTGAGCAAAAATTCTACTTTGTGAGCTACCGGTGTTAAAGTTGTGAGCGGGCGATTTGGCTGCTGCATAAATTAGTTTGCTCTGGAGCCCTCCCTTCCTGGGCTAAGACAAGAATGTGTGAGCTGGAGGCTAAAAACCTGTGAGCTAGCTCACACCAACTCAGCTTAGAGGGAACACTGATCCCAATCATATCGGGACTGCGTGTGTGTGCGTTTCCTGAGTCCTGTTTCCTGAGGAAACTATTCTGACTTCTTCTTCTTTTTGGTAACAGTCTCCTTGAAATGGGATAAAGGTTTAAATAATATACCTTCACAAGGCATGTGGTACAAACAGTGACTAAGTGTAGCACATTCCCCACAAAAGGCACTGCTGGGAATGCAGTCAGGGTGGGCAGCAAGTGTCCGGGGAGGGAGGGACGTCCGTGGCACCTCCAGCCCGAAGCATGTCGGAACGACCCCTGCCTGAGACTGGCCAGAGCGATGGGCCGTCATGACCGTACTCTGTGGCTTTACACAGCCCTGAAGTCCCACCACCGTGTCCCGTCAGCCTCTGCCGCTGCAGACCAAAACTGCAGGCAGGAGCCACCCGGGCAGCTACCCCCTGGGCCTCTTCCAGCATCTCTGCCAGAGGGGAAAAGAACGGGCTGAACGCAAAGGCGATCTGCTTCCGTGGCACCCCCCCACCCCCCCGGGGGCTCCCTGGAGGCCTTGGCACCTGGGGCGCTCACCTGAACTCTCTCCCCTCGCTGTACCGCCTTGAGGGAGTGGCGCGCTGAGGGGCCGTCTCCAGGAGCAGCTTCTGGGTGAGCCTGCTGGAGGGGACCGAATCGCACCTGGCGTCCTCCTCCTTGGGCTCCTGGTCGCACTTCCATTCCTCGTCCTCGTTGAGGGTCGGCAAGTAGCCCGAGAGGCATTTCCCCGTCCCGGACCCTGAGCTCTGATCACTGCACACTTTAGGACTCTCCCCCCCGGTCCTCGTGTATTCCAAATAAATATCCGACTTCAGGAACAGCGGGTACGTGTTCTCCTCGATCATGGACTGGATCTCCGTCTGGGCCTGGTCAAACATGGCGGGGTCAATCAGCTGCTTCATGACGCAATCCTTGATGAAGCTTTTGGTCGCTGGCTTGATCTGCCGCGACACGATCCCGTTATTGTCCAGGATGTACTTTTTGTAGATGGCTTTGGCCAGCTTCAGCCTCTTCTCCTCGTTGGCGTCTGAGGGCTCCAGCTTCCGGAAGCCGCTGCAGGCAAACCAGAAGTCCAGCAGGTCCGCGCAGCCCTCCTGCTTCAGGAAGGTCCGGAAGAGGTTGATCCCGTCCTGGTCGTCCAGCAGGGAGTGCAGAGACTCCGCCCATCTCAGGTAGGGGGGCGTGGGGGAGGCGCTCCCCTCGGGCTCGTAGCCCAGGTCCAGGTCGGGGCGCCTCGGGGTGGCGGTGGAAGTCTCCGCCTTGAGGACGTCACATTTCCCAGAGTAGAAACCATGGCTGGCCGAGCGCAAGTCCGTGGAAATCAGCTCCCCTTCCTCGCCGGGGACGGGGGGCCTCGGCGCGTCCTCCGTGAAGCTTCCTCCGAGATCGAGAGGGAAGCCCTGGCCCGGGACGTTCATCTCGACCGCAACGGCTGGGACCGGTGCAACGGGACCGCCCGAGTCTCAGGGCCCCAACAGGAACACGCGGGCCCGGCTGCAACAGCGGGAAAGGGCTCTGTTAGACACACGGCAAACCATCCCGCGGCGCCCACCGGGGCAGAACTCTTGCTGGCCCGCCACACGCCAAAGGCGGCCCTTCTCCGGGAAGCAGCAAGGGAGGACCCCCCCCGCCCCCACCCCACGGTGAGCATCTCCCCCTCCCAAGCACGGCTCCCTCTCTCAGCCGTGGAGCCTCGTGAGCAAAAACCCCACTTGGTGAGCGGCTGCCGGTGTTAAAGTCGTGGCTCCTGGATAAATCAGTCTGCTCTGGAGCCCGCCCTTCCCTGAGCTAGGACGAAGAGGCTAAAAGAACTGTGAGCTCGGCTTCGGGGGTGGGGGTGGGGTGGGGAGCACTGCAGCCCCACACTGGGAGGAGGAGGGGCTCTGGGCAGGTCCGGCCCAGGCCCAGGCCCAGGCCAACCGTGAAGCAGACTGAGCGCGGTGCCTAGGGCACCAGGGCCAAAGGGGGCACCACGAAGTCGGGGAAAGGGGCGGAAAGCTTCGTTTGCACACACAGTGTATCCTGCCACCCCACGAATACATTTTTTTGTATGGCTGCAACCTGCATTGTACATCTGGTACCAGACAGGTCAGCCGCTGCAATGGACTGGGTCAGTCGGTGCGGAAAGGAAGGGGAGGACCAAGATCGGTGGAGTGCTGAGGGCCCCCCCCCCCCAGAGAGCCTTAATCCGCCCCTGGGTGCGGGATGGGGGGGGGCGCTTGGATAACTCCCTGGAGCTCCCAGCAGAGCTCATCCCCCCTGCGAGGGGGGGCCTGGGGGG